CAACAACACAAACTCAATCTGAAAAGTTCAGCACCAGCTGTATCAGCGTGTTGAAAAGCACACTAGAAACAGCTTAGTAAAAACTTTCAGCAGCCAAGAATAATTTCTTGTAGATAGTTTTAACTTCGAAATACACTGTGTCTCTGCAGAGCGCAATGCGTAGCACGATGTTCACTATTCGGAGTACGAACTCTCTATTGTAATTTGGTGTAAGAGTTGTTATACTGACTAAGCAGACACAGCATGAGAAATATCAGGGCGTGTCATTACACCCAAATACATCAAACTACCAATGAGTTCCTGGTAAGGAATCTTCGGATCGCACATTTCGCCCTCAGTCTTACTCATGTCGATACTAGTATCAAATGTACAGACAAGACATCAAGAGTACAGACAACCTTACTGTTTATCATACCAAAACGTTTTAACAAGTCGTTAATATCACATATAGAACTGTTTTTCGGGCTTTGAAGCCATGGTCCATGGGAATTTCTTCCTGACGTTTCGTCCACAACTGCGGTGGACATTATCAAAGGCGATGAGGCAGTGGGCGAAGTGATCTCCCGTGCTTTCCGACCACAGATCACAGAGGTTATAGATTGGAAACTGCTATATATGCCTGCAGAATGCTATTTGTCGCTTAAGACACCGGGTGCAATCAAAACTAAACTCTAATTTCCACTACTGGCAGAAGAAATCTTCTTTATCGATTGGGTTAACATCAAAATTTAGCGGGGTATTTGATTTCAGTTTATGACCTCTGTGATTTCCGTTGAAGTTTCAATAACATTTCAAGCATTTCATCATGGTCCTCTTAATTGTGATGTTTAACTTCAATTAACATCACAATTAAAGGGCAATATAAAAAGTGAAGTGTTTTACACTCTAAAGATTAAAGATTAAAGGACTTAACCTACCTTAATCTACCTTAACCTAATGTGGGCACATTACCCCTAAGTTTAGACCTAAATCTAATACAGCTTCTCTTGTTACCTAAACTAACTTACAGCTAGTCCTGGTCCT